GGAACTGCCTCGTTGGAAGACAGCCGTTTGAAGACCCTGAAGCATGCCAAAACAATGTTCTCGGGATTCCAACGCCTTGCATAAACCTGATAGTTTCGTCTTGGCGATCTTGAACCGTGCCAGAACACAATTCCTGCGACTTCAACACAGCGAATCAACGTAACTGTTGCACCCTCATACGTAATCCTGAATCCTTACAAGAACACAAAGTTGGGTACGCTGATCATGGGATTCCGTGAAACTCTTGCAACTTTTGAAAACGAATGCGCGCGGCGCTAAGGCGAGACCCACAGTTTGGAAACCACCCGCCTTCAGTCCGTGAAGCTGTTGCACATGTTTAAAACAAATGTGCGCGGCGCTAAGGCGAGAGCCACATGTTGAAAAACATCCCAATCCGTGAAATTGCTGCCATCTTTGAAACTTCAGGGCCATGAATGGTGAGGGAGTCTCATGCGAGACGCCAGGCCCGCCCAAAAAATTTGCCTCGGGGTGCGACAGGAAGAAGCTACTTATGAGGAAAGAAATGGAGGAGGAGGAGGAGGAGGAGTTGGAGGAGGAAGAGGAGAAGGAGGAGGAGGAGGAGGGAAGCCAAGGAGGAGGAGGAGGAGGAGCAGGAGGAGGAGGAGGAGGCCTGTGGGCCAGCGTCTTCTACTCTGAGTACCCCGAGGCCGCCGAGGTCCTGCTGGCGGCGGCGACGGACGGCTTCATTCAGAGTTGTCGTCGTCGTCGTCGTCGTCGGCGGCGGCGGCGTCGTCGTCGGCGGGCGGCGCCCGCCCCCCGCGGCCGCCCAGGTCGTGCTGGCGGGGGCCGCCCTGCTCTGCGCGGCCCCGCCGGCCTTCTCCGCGGCCCTGGCCGGCGCCCGCGGCCCCGCCGCGCGCTCGCGGCATGGCATGCGCGCGCCCGGCAGGCGCGCGGCGCGCGGCGGCGGCCCGCCGCGGCCGGCGACGCCGCTCGAGGGCAGCGCCGTGCAGATCCGGTGGCCCCCCACCCGCCTCCTGGGCCTCCTGGGCCTCCTCGGCCTCGGTATCCTCCTCCTCCTGCTGCTGCTCCTCCTCTTCCTCCTCCTCGTCGTCCTCGTCGTCGTCTTCCTCCTTCTCCTCCTCCTCCTCCTCCTCCTTCTCCTCCCTCGCCCTTGGATGGGTGCCTCGGCGCGTGGGCGGCGTGCTGGGGCCCAGGGGAGCTAAAATCCGCCAAGCCGTGGCCTGAGTGGGGGCTGCGCTGCGGTAGAACTGGCTGGGCCCCGTGGTCGCTGGCCTGCGCACCCTGGGTTCGCCCGCGCGGTGGCCGAGGGGGGCCAGGGTCCTGCGGGGTTTGGGGCGGCACCCAAGGAGGTGCCGCTATCTGAGTGCGAGGCTGCAGCGCAGGGCAAGTGAGACATGGATGCGTGAGTGAGTCGGGAGTTGTTGCAAGGCTGTAGTGGGCAGGGACCCCCACAGGGATGGCGCGCGCAGTTTCGCGCGGCTATTGTCTGCCCTCGGCTTCCTCCCCGCTCCCCTCCCCGCCGCGCTTTCCCCCGTGCCAGAGGCCGCCAGGGCCTCCACTCTGAGGGTTTCTGAAGCGGGCCAGGAGGCCCGCGGCCCAGTGGGCAAGGGCGGCCAGGCTTCGCGCTCGGCGCCCTAACAGGCGACGGACGCGGCGGCCTGACCACTGCCCGTTCATGTGCCTAGCACGAGAGCGGGCGTGCCGAGCTGTGTCGCACGCTCTCGTCGGCCTCGACACTGGTGTTAGAACTCCTCCTCTCTCACTCCTCCTCTCTTTCTCCTCCTCGTCCTCCTTCCCCTCCTTTTCCTCCTCCTCCCTCTCCTTCTAGATGTTCTGGCACAAGGATTATTGTGTTTGCGTTTACCATCGATTCAGAGGCGAGCCTGTTTGGCTCGGCTGCCCCTCCTGTTCCAACCTTCCAGAGCACGGCGGTGCCATGGCGGGCGGCGGCAATTCGTGGTCGTGGAAACAAGAGGGCCAGCGCCGTGATGCATCCAGCGTTGGGCCCAAGAGGAAGCGCGCCCACTCCGACTGCGGCTGCGCCAAGAACCTCTTCTGGCACTCTTGGTGCAAGCACAGCCACCGCCCCCGCAGCGAGGCCGCCCCTGGGGCGGCTCCTCAGCCAACCGAGAGCGGCGGCAAGGGCTGGCTGGCAGCGCGGCGGCAAGGCCCTTTCCCTGCTCGGCGGTTCCTCGACGCCGCCCGACATCGCGATCGCGGAGATCGACTCGTTGCTCGGGGTGGCCACAGGTTCGGGGATGAGTCCGCCACGTCGCAGTACCAGATGTGGCGCAAACAGAAGCTGGACGCGGAGAAGGGCCGCGAGGAGAAACCTTTGGAGCGCCAGGCCAATGAGGCGCTCTAGCGGCTCTAGCGCGTCCACATCCTGGAGAAGCACCTCGACCGCGAGCTCGACGTGCTGGAGAAGGCGAAGCAGTGGCTCGACGCGCGCGCCACTGCCGCCGCCGACGCCCAGGGCCGAGCTCGACCAGCAGGACAAGCTCCACAAGGACTTGGT